ATCAGGTGTTTCATCGCGAGAAAGAATATTCGTTTCGTTATATATATATATTTTTTTAAAATCGTAAACGTTGTTTTATCTTGTTACCGAGCAATATCCTGTTACTATAATTTATCGGACATTATCCAACCTAATAATATGCATGTTACGCGATTTATAGAACGTTGAAAACAGGCTACGTTAAAGGCTGATAAACTACGCGCTATTGGAAATCCATAATGCATCGTTCCACACGCAGGAAAGTGCATCGAGGCACATTTGTTCCTCGTTGATAAAAATAAATATCCATCGCAAACATATTCGTTCTTCTTGTTTATTTGAACATTTTACGAATCGAGGAAGAAGAGTTTTCCATGGGAAAACCAACGAAACCTTCTCATCTTCCTCTCCTTTTCTCATCGTTAATTCTGCTTTCTTCCTTCCACGAGAATAAAAATTTCTTTACACCGAATATCGCGGCCCAACAGTGAAGAAGAGCCGCTTTTCGATCCACTTTTTCATCTTCCTCCGTTTTCTTTCTTCAATCGCCAAACATTCGAGATAAAATCCCGATTTTTCTTCTTTGCGTACTCTAAATATTGGACAATGCTGCTTCTCTCTTATTTTCTTCCATCCACGAATCCATCGAAATAAAACATTCGAGATAAAATCCAAATTTTCTTCTTTACGTATTCTAAATGTCAGATAAAGTTGAACAGTGGAAAACGAGTGCTTCTTCCATCTATGAATCTAAACATTCGAGATAAAATCCAGATTTTTCTTCTTTGCGTATTTTAAATATGGCTGGATAATATTCAACAGTGGAAAACGAGTGCTTCTTCCATCCACGAAATCCATCGAGACGAAACGTTCAAGATCCAAAATCCAAATTTTCTTCTTTGCGTATTCTAAATTTCAGATAATATTCAACAGTGGAAAACGAGTTCGAGATAAAATCCAAATTTTCTTCTTTACGTATTCTAAATATCGGATAATATTCAACGATGGAAAACGAGTTCTCTCCTATTCTCTTGCATCCACGAATATCGTTGCACGAAACGAAACACTCGAGATAAAAAGCCCGATTTTCCTCCACCGAATATCGGTTGAGCAGCGAAGAAACGAGCGCTTTCCCCCCTTCCTTTTCCTTTCTTTCTACCGTTCCACGAATATCGCCGCATTCGAGATAAAAATCCCGAAAATTCTCTTCTCCGCATAATTCTTAAATTCACGAGCATATAATATTCAACGAGTATAATGGGGAACGACCGCTTCTCTTATCTCTCAAAATCCTCCTCCAAATATTCCTCTCACGGTTCTAGATATTCCGAGCTTGAACCTCTCTTCATTTCTTCCCTCCCAGTTAATTCACACACGGCGAATCGGGCGCGATTACGGGCGGAAAATCTCGGCCATTGGAAAATTGGAACGAAACGATTCGTTCGAACGGATGCGAAGAAACGGTTTTCGCCAAGGTTTCGAACGAAGGGAGCAGCCAGAGCACCGCTGAAACTCTCGAAAACACGGGCTTTCACGCTCCGCGACATTTAAGAGGAGTCATAATTAATCGAGTCGCGTGAATGGGATACGTTTTGTAAGGGAAAATCATTTTTAACACGCATTACGATTCATACATACGTTCGCGCAAATGTATCTATCCTCGACTCGGTGTATTTTTCTTTTCCTTCCTTCCATTTCCTTCCCCCTCCTCCTCCCCCTCCCCCTCGTTTATCTACGATCAACGCGCGCGATGCGGAAAAAACTCGAGATGCATTTGTGCATTTAATGGCACTCGTGGTCGCATTGTTGAAGGATACTTACGTCACTTCACCGCACGCGGAACTGTTTCAGAGAACCTTCTTGTATTGCTGGAAAAATCGTGGCAGGAGGGGAGGGTATCGGCGTAAGCGCGAATTGGAGAGAAATTTTCTCGCCGAGTCGTTTGTGGCATTTTAAAAAATCGAAGTTAAATTTTCACATTTGAAATTTCCTTTCCCCGCGAATTCTTATCGAAAGAGAAATTGATATCCGTCGATTTTTCAGGAAAGTCATCAACAGTATCGAAGAGTGCATTGAAATAAATTCGATCGAATTAAATTGAACGACGAATAAATATTCGATTATTAATAAAATATATTATTATTTGGATCTTTCATTCGTGTAATTTTGGCTTATATATATATATAAAATAATTCTCTACTTCACGCCCAAGAATCGGAATTGAATAGAGAATGAATAAAAGAAAAATATGTACGTATTCGAACGAAACGATATTTTCCTCAACAAGATAACATTAATAGCAAAAAAGAGAGAGAAACTACAGATCCCAAGTTACCATTATCGCAGCTTCGTCAAAGACAAAGCGGAATAAAAACAAATCCAAAACGAATTCCCGCCAAGTTC